GGGGAATTGAACCCAGGTCCTCTGCAAGAGTAGCCAATGCTCTTAAACACTGAGTCATTTCTCTAGCCCCATCTAGTGCTACTGTTTGTTTTACACTAGCAAAACTTAAAAATAGGGACTAGAAAGAAAGTGATGAGCATTCTTAGTGGCAAATAATGTTATAACCTATTTATTTCCACAAATGTTTCAGATGAGGTATCTTCAAATGAGTTTGGGAAGACTTTTCTAAAACAATGCGAGCTGTTATTAGTTGTATGTTCTTGTGTAGTCTTACTTTGGTAATTCCAAAGGAAATTGTGGCCCTTCATAATTCAAAAGTATTAATATTAAAGGTGGAAAATCTGGTTAAAAAAAATAGGGACTAGAGAAATGGCTTAGTGGTTAAGAGCACTGGCTGTTCTTGACCCACGTTGAATTCCTAGCACCCACATGGCAGCTAACAACTGTCTGTAACTCCAGTTCAGGGGATCAGACAGCCTCTTCTGACCTCCTCGGGCATTGCAACAACGTGGCTGCAGGGTGCAGTTACCTACACACAGGCAATACACGCATACAAGGGGATCAGACAGCCTCTTCTGACCTCCTCGGGCATTGCAACAACGTGGCTGCAGGGTGCAGTTACCTACACACAGGCAATACACGCATACACATAAAATAAAATAATAAATAAAAAATTTTTAAAAAGTGATGATGAAGGCCCAGGCTTGGAGAGTGGCAGCCATTATGTATGTAGGAAGGGTTAGGGTATTGGACAGAGGGCCCATGGCACCGTCCTTCAGGCAGAGCTGAGGGAAGAGTTGGATCCTGGAGTCTGTGGAGACAGATTGCGTCCAGGTATAACCAAGGCAGGAGCCACTGTCACACAGTATGGAATTGCTTAGGCTCTGGAGCCAGACTGCTCCAAGTAAGAGTTCTGGCTTTGACTCTGGCTGGTTGTGTGGCCATGAGTCTGGGCACAACAGTAGTTTTATACCTGTGGGCAGTGACTTCCCACTGTGACCACAGCAAAAGGAATTATGAAGGCATATTCTCAGGCCACCCTGGAGCCCACCAAAAAGACTTAGAGGCCAGAAATCCTGTGAATTTAGGTCTTGTATACAAGCCAACCAAAACCCTGAAAATCCTGGCATCCATTTTTGCTGCCCTATAGTAGAAAACCCTTGAATCTCAAGGTTGAAAAATGCACGCCTATCCTTTGCATTCTGGTGACTAAGTGCAAACTGGGCAGGGCTGCTTTTAATTAAACTCTTTGTGCCTGCTTTATCAGCCTAGCCTGATTTTGGAACCCAAAGCAAGGCTGTTCCTACCCTAATAACCCCGCCCCACCCTGGCTAGGCGCAATGTAAGGCCCTAATAGTGCCCTGAAGGCACTCCCTTCATCAACAGGTCTGAGCAAAGTCTATACACGTTGCACTTTGATGCCTTGTTGGGGGTAGGGGGGGCAGGGTTTCACAGACTCTGGCCTTTATGTACTTGAAAATTGTGCTTGTTGAGGCTCCCCAGTCAGTCTCATCCTGTAAAGCACTCATTTGGTCATTCATACACTGCTAAAAAATGTTTTTCTTAAGCTTGGTGTGGTAGTGCACACCTATAATCCCAGCACTCAGAAGGTTCGAGGCCAGTCTGAGCTACATAGCAAAACCTTGTTTTCATAAAATAACTCCCCCCTCAAATTATTAGTTTCATATTTTTTGACAAAAAAATCGAATCCTGAGACTGGTGATATAGCTCAGTTAGTAGAGTGCTTTCCAGGCAGGTAGGAGGCTCTGGTTTAGGTCTGCGGCATTGCATGAAACCAGGCATGGTGGTGCATGCCTGTAATCCTAGCACTCAGAAGATGGAACCAGAAGGGTCAAGAGTTCATGGTTAGCCTGGACTATATAGCAAGGTCAAAACAAGCCTGGGCTAAATGAGGCCCTGTCTTAAGAAAAAAAGAAAGGAAGGAAGGAAAAGCAAAGCAAAAAAATCTAATCCTGGACACCATAAAATCAGATAAACAAAGTGACAAACAAATACATAAATAAAGAATTTCCAGTCCTGCTATTGATTTATTCTGATAATTAGTTATGCCCCCTTCTCTGAACACAAAACCTTGACCAAGTTTGAACCCAGAACCTTCTGAGGAATGGGGCTAATTGGGTCACACAGTCCTACAGCCCAATGGAGGAGGCAGGATACCACCTCCCTTTTAACTACACAGCAAAGACCTGTCTTACAGGTGAGCAAGACATGTGGCCCAAATTCATTTAGAGTCACGCAGCACTCAGCCATAGAATTCTGTAGATGGAAGATTTTTATTCTGTTTGGTAAAAATCTTTGGAATTCTTTTGGTTAGAAGTATCAGAAATTCAACATGAGTCAAGTTTGGTAGCTGAAGCCAGTCCTGGAGAAATTGCTGTGTTATTTGCATATGTTCTCCAGGAGACATATTTGAGAGTGCTCATCATAGCACGGAGAAAATAAAAGATTAGAAACCACCCAAATCAGGTCCAGTAGGTAAATGGTTAAGTAAAATGAGGACTGGACATTTGACCAATGGATAAAGCAACTGAAAGAATTAAACTAGATCCAACATATGTGATTGCCATCAAAAAGGTTAAATTAGATCTCCCATATTTGATCATATCCAAGATATAGTTGATTTTCATTATTGGAGACAGTTTTGCTTCATGAATTGCTGTCAACATTGAGTTAATGAATGCTGAACCATTGCACTATGGGAAATGCAGGCAGGCGAGGTTGCTGAGCCTCTGGCCACTTGATCAGTATATAATCTACTCAGAGACAGCAGGTTTGATATGTATTATTGACTCACTAGCCTTGAGCACATGGCCAAGAAACACGGAGCTCATTCTGGTTTATTTTAATACATTTATTTTCCTCAAAAGGCACATCTTAGCCTGTTTGCATTTAGTTGATTATTTCACCATTTCAAACAGGAAAATTACCTACAAAACCCACAAAGATGTAAAAAACATGGCTCTGTGAAAACAATGTTTGTTTACGTATGAGACCTAAGAATGTAAACAAGAAAGCAGCACTACTGTGTTCAACCAAGCTGAGAACAACTCAGTCAAGCAGCAAACTTTTACCTCTCTCTGCACATCCATGAGTAATTATGCAAATGCTGTGTTCATTTGGAGTTACAAGTAAATCCTAGTGACAGGCAGATTTACCAGCGTGGAATCTGTGAATAGGGGGGATCAAGTACACATAGGCTTTTCATTTTAGTGTCTTTTGAAATTGGGATACATTTTAGATTCTATAAAATACATTGTTTGAATCAGTATAGACAGAATGAGATTAATGTTGAATGAAAACCCACGTTAAATATACATTTAGGTATGTAAGTATAATGTGTGTGTGTATTTGAATCAGTACAGATACAATAGCCTTGGCCATGTGCCCAAGGCTAGTGATTAATGTTGAATGAAAACCCACACCAAAGATACATTTAGGTATGTATGTATATGTATGTGTGTGTGTTTATGTATGTATGTATGCATGATGTTGCTAAATATGTAAAATAAAACAACATGATACTTTTCCTTTACTATGAATGGGTAATAGGTATTAAGTACTCCCCAATCACTGTGTCCTGTTCCGGCCATTTTATCAGCTAAGTTAATCCTTACAAGGCCTTTGTGAGGTTGATACTACCTGTATCCTCATTTTATAAAAAGAGGTTAAAAAAACTGCTCAGGGTCACAAAAAGGTCATTCATTTCACCCTGTAGTAAAAATGGTTGGATTCAATCTACAAATTTTCCTTGTGTGATTTGCAGCCTAAGAGGAGCTAAAACAGTCATTAGCTAGATCAATATGTACTAAATTGTGCTATTATAAAACAGTTTTATTTCCCTCTTTCATATATTGACCATAATATTTCTGACTTAGATGTAAAGATATTTATTTTTATTTATTTAAAAGGATTTCATCTGTAGCTGAGTTTTCCTAAGTGCTTGACAAACTTGGGGTTGTTCTAGCTCTTGATTGCCCCTTTTATTGTATAAGCTTCAGAAAACTATTTTCTACATATAGACATCTTTTGTGTTAATGAGAATATTTGCATAACTTGTTCTGTTTACACTAATGCTTGTTAGTTTTAAATATGCTCAAGTTGCATTATATAGAGGAAAGTCATAAATTAAGATGTTAAAAAACAATGAGAATTGTATGAGCTCCAGGCATTTTTTATGTAAGAATCTACCTGAACGCTGAGGGTCTTCAGAAACTGAATAAAAAAATATTTTAAACTGAGGCATAAAAATCATGGCATTATGAAACATTTAAATGCATTGTTACTCCAAACTTTCATATATTTATGCAGATTTAAAAGTATATTATTCTTAGAATTTATGAGTCTGGGAAATTGTTGTTTCTTTAACACATCAAGTAGCTTTTTCTCCAACTCCATTGCTGCCAACTGAAGATTCCATATTAGCCAGAAATTCTCTGGTCAGAAAGTTTTCTGATCCCCTTGCCTGTCAAATGATATTATTGAGTTGAACCACAAATTTCTAGTTTTGTAGGCTAAAAAAAAAAAAAAAACCAAACAGATACCAGCAATTTTGTTTGGTGCAGCCTGACACCATCTCTGTTTGACCTTGCATGGCTCTTTTTTTTTAAATTTTTTTTTTTAATGTGTATGTATTGTCTGCATGTATGTGAGTGCACCCATGTCATGCAATGGCATGGACGTCAGAAGAGGGCTTTGGATTCCCTTGGAACTGGAGTTAAGGATAGTTCGTAGCTGCCATGTGGGTGCTGGGAATCGAACCCAGGTCCTCTGCAAAAGCAGTCAGTGCTCTTAACCGCTGAGCTATCTCTCCAGCCCCAGCAGTCTTGTCTTAAGACAGCAGGCTTCCTTGCTGAGTGGAACTGTGGCTTGTTTCTCTTGGGATTCTGCCTTCTTCGCAGCACAGGCTCTGAATGTGTGTTTACGGGTGGAATGAGGTAAGGAAGGCATCACCATTCATTTTCTTTGTTTTTTCTTTTCAGCAGTCCACATGTGCAGCGTCTTGGAACACAACTGTGCTCACTTCTGCATCAACACACCTGGCTCGTATGTATGCAGGTGCAGGCAAGGGTACATTCTCAACTTGGACCAGAAGACTTGCAGAAGTAAGCTTGCTTTGCCCATGTGTCTAAACTGCCTGCTCCTTTTATCTGGGCTCATTTTATTCATCTGTAGTCCCTCACCCAACCCACCATCTCCCTGAGGCTGGAAACAGTTTCTGTATGTTCTGTTGCCCCACCCCCCCACCCCCGCTCTCTCTTTGTCATTACAGTGCCTAGGCCTGGCACATAGTAGGTCATTGGCAAAATGTAAAAGATTAGTGGAGATGCTGTCTCAGAAATAGCCTCCTTGCCTGTGTGAGCTGGTCTTTTTCACCTCTAAACTGCTTCTTGCTAGGAAGTTATTGAAGAAACTTTTCATTCACTGGCTTTATTAGCTGGGCCCTGAGGAGCTATTTTTATATTTTATCCTCTTTTCAAAGTGTGGTCTTAGGATGAGTTATTGACCTCAGCTGGGAGTGCTTAGCGTGCTTTGTTTTAGAGGTGTGCAGGGAGCTGGCTGCTTTGGTGAGGAGACATTTTAGTGTTTTCCAAATTTTAAAAAGGGCAAACAGTTATAAAGCATTTGAATTCATATTGTTCTTTGGCCAGGCTTCAAAGACTAGACAGGACTGGAGAGATGGCTCAGTGGTTAAGAGCACTGGCTGCTCTTGCAGAGGACCTGGGTTCAGTTTCTAGCACCCACATGGTGGCTAACAACCATTCGTAACCTCCGGTTTCAGGGGATCCAACACCCTCTTCTGGCCTCCAAAGGCATCGCACAAATGTGGTACACTTACCTATAGGCAAACCACACATACACGTTTAATAAAAACTAGTAGACAATGAGCTGATATTTAAGCTAGCAGGAGGTAACCCGTCAAGAACAGCATTAGGTATACTGAGTGTATGCCCTTCCTTTTTGTTTTAATTTTCCTAAGTCATAAGTATAACCATTCCTCTAACCAGATTACCAATATAGCCAGATTACCAAAACAAGGCCTGAGGAAGACTGGCTACATGGAGGCAAATAGAAATCATCTAGGTCTGACTTGTAGTTCATGCAATGCATAATTGTTATTATACCACATGACAAGCAATTAAGCACTAATGGAAAGCAGTTTGCACAAATGGCTGTAATTAGTACTGCATTTATAGAGCTGAACCACATTTTCCATTTTTCTTCTCCCCTTTCAGATTCAGGGTTGAGTGGTTGATGGGAGGACCTCCCTGTTTCCCAATATTAGGTCATATCTGCCTGACTTTCTCTCGTTCTGAGGCTTCAGAGCCCTCTGGACTCTGAAGGCCAGGGAACTTTGTGCTCTTAAGCTCCTCTCAGATCCCAGGACCCCTTGCAGCTGGAATCATCCTCATCTTTCACTTGAAGCTCTGCTACTTCTTCAGGTGCCACAGCAAAACTTGCTCACAGCAAATACTCATGGGGTAAATAAATTTTAATAAATTGCCAGGGGAGCTTGGGAAAGGTCATCTTGCATCGTTTCACACACTATTCAGCAAACAACTCGCACATCTCTTAGTCACCCCGTCCTCTTTAGGTGCGCTCAGTCTCCAGCCATCTTGCCCACTCCCTTCCTGCCTTCCCCTCTTTAGGGAGCATAAGATAGTCTCCCTCTTTCATGTCCTGGTGCTTGGGTCCCCTGGCTGGGACCTGGGCAGCTGCCAATATCCACTTTCTATGGGCTGACTCAGCTAAACCAGAGGAATTCTGACACCAATAAATAATAATAATAATAAAACAATGAAGACATCGGCCTTGGATTTCACAAGCAGTCTTTGCCACTCCTGCCTGTGAGTATAGGCCCTGATATTCTGGGACTCCCCCTTGCCTGGGGCTGTGGCATCAAAAAGCATGAAGCAGAAACTGCTTGGGCTTTAAACAGACAATTAGGCGGGGAAATAAGGTGTCCCAGAGAAAGGAGGGACAGGAGCCCAGGGCCCTGACTCTCACAGGAGCTAAGAATGAGTCAGAAAGCAACTCCAAGGCTCCTCAGAGACTCTGGGTCACAAACCCAGGTTTCTCTTCTTTTTAAGATTTTAATTGGTGAGTGCGTGCGTGTGTGCGTGCGTGCGTGCGTGTGTGTGTGTGTGTGTGTGTGTGTGTGTGTGTGTGTGCAGGTGCCACTGGAGGCTTCCCTTGGAGATAGCATTACAGGCAGTTCTTTTCTGACACATGGCTTCATTGTGTAGCCTAACCAGACCTGGAATTCACTGTGCAAGTGAGACTGGCCTAGAACTTGCTGTCCTCCTGCCTCAGCCTCCTGAGTCCTGGGATTATAGGTCTCCATGACCAAGCCTGGTTCCAGGTCTGTCGGCCTCCCCTCTCCTGAACTCCGCTGCTACCAGGAGACTGTTGTGCACCGTCCCCGTACAGTAGGAAGAAACACCCAGGAGACTGTGTCAGTGGACAGCTTGTTTATTATGGCGGAAGCAGAGGTTTATATAGGAAAGTTTGGCAGACAAAGAGGTGGGGTTGGTTTTCTGGCAGGCAGACGGGGAGGGAGGGGGCTTCTAAGGCTATGTGGCCTTTGTCCTGTCCTCTGGTCACATGATTTACAAAAGACCTGGTTAGGATTAAAGGATTAGAGACCTAATAGTTTTGCTTGGGGGCTGTGGGCTAAGAGACAGTGTGTCTAGAATGGAGTGGGCCACCTGCTATTCTCACTGGGAGGTCTCTGGCTTGGCCATGCTCTACATTCCAGGCACTCTTGACTTATTCCAACACAGGTCCTTTCAAATGTCAATTTGAAATATGATATTATCATTTGCTGGCTGCCCTACCTGGAGTTGCTTGCTTATTTATTTATTCATTCATTCATTCATTTATTCATTCATTTATTTGTCTTTTTTTGAGACAGGTTCTCCTTGTAGCCCCAGCTGTCCTGAAACTCACTATGTAGACTAGGCTGGCCTCAAACTCACGAAGACCCTCCTGCCTCTGCCTCCCAAGTGCTGGGATTAAAGGTGTGCGCCACCTCACCTGGCGGAGTTGCTTATTTAAACTCCTTGAACCTCAATTTCCTCACCCATGAGGTGGGAAAAGTGGTCACAAGTAAGAGCTTACCTCTTTGATAGATCCTCGTTAGCCCCTGTGTTTGGTCTGTTGGAGTAAAAGCTGTGCCACGGGGAAGCTGTGCCATCCCATGACCTCTGTTCACATGCTGCCTCCCTGCTATTACCATCACAACGGGGGCTGGGGTGGAATGAGACACAGCTATGTTCCATTTTTGTTTTCCTGTTCTGGATGTAGCTGGACATCCCTCTAGATAGGCATGTTGATTACACTTCTGTGCCTGAAGCACCTCATCTTCCTTAAGACATACTTGTCATTCATTTTTCTGTTATGAAGAAATGTTTACCATTCATTCTTTCTTATGTTCATTGATGGATCCAAATTATTTTTTAATTTTTTATAGATATTTGAGCATAGAAACATAATAGATAGCATGCAGAACACTGGAAATTGAGCAGTGACCAGAAAAGCAATGCTTCTTCCATTGGGAGCTTGCTTTCTTGTATGGGAATGAATGAAATAAACAAGGTAATTGCAGTAGAAAGTCATGTCAACCCTTGCCCAGTTTCATGTGCAGGACGTGAGGTCAACCCTAACTCCATTGATCTATAGGTCCATTTTTGTGTCAGTACCATGTTGTTTTTATGACTATAGCTCTGTAATACAGTTTGAAATCTGGTATAGTACTTAGTGCTCAGGGGTGCTTTGGCTATCTGAGGTCTTTTGTGGTGCCATATGAATCTTAGGATGTTTTTTTCCAATTCTTTGAAGAATGTCATGGGGATTTTGATTGGCATTGCATTGAATCTATATATGACTTTTGGTAGGATGGTCATTTTCACAATATTAATTCTTCTAATCTATGAGCACGGGTGGTCCTTCCATCTTCTGATGTCTTCCTCAGTTTCTTTATTAAAGATTTAAAATTTTTGTTGTAGAGGTCTTTAATGTCTTTCATCAGGATTATTCCAAGATATTTTATTTTTTTGCATCTATTGTGAAGGGGAGTGTTTCCATGTACTTTCTCTGATTGCTTGTTACGGGTATACAGAAAGGCTACAGACTTTTGTACATTAATTTTATAACATGCCACTTTACTGAACGTGGTAATAATTTCTAGGAGTTTTCTGGTGGAATTTTTGATGTCTCTTAGATATCATATCATCTGCAAAAAGGGATAATTTTATCTCTTCTTTTCTAGTTATTACTCCTTTACATTTATCCTTCTCCTATCTTACTGCTCTTGCAAGAGTTTCAAGCACTATGTTAAAGAGGAATGGAGATAGTGGACAACCTTGTTTGGGTCCTGATTTCAGTGGGAATCCTTCCAGTTTTTCTCCATTTAGAATGATGTTGGCGTCTCTTAGATATAATATCAGCTGCCAAAGGGATAATTTGATCTCTTCTTTTCCAATTATTACTCCTTAAATTTCCTGCTCTTTTCTTATTGCTCTAGCAAGTGTTTCAAGCACTGGGTTGAAAAGGAGTGGAGATAGTGGATATCATTGTCTGGTTCCTGATTTTAATGGGAATGGTTCCAGTTTTTCTCCATTTAGAATGATATTGGCTGTGGGTTTGTTGTATACAGCTTTAATTATGTTGAGGTATGTTCCCTCCAGTCCAGTTCCCTCTAGGACTTTGAATATAAATGCATGCTCCAGACCAGCCACAGTCATGTAGGTCTCTGTAAGTCTGTCCACTTTCCCCTTCATGCCTTTCTTACTAAACATGCTTTCGCTAAGGCTTTGGGCTTCCTCAGCATCTTGTATTTCTTTACTTTTTCTCTAAAGCTTCCTTCTCCCAGCCATGTGACTGAGAGTCAACCACGTGTCTGACCTCCACGCAGGCTCTAAACCTGCATTGCTTCATGATTTTGTTGAGAATTTTTGCATCTTTGTTCATTAAGGATTTGGGTCTATAGCTTTCTTTTTTGGTTGTGTCTTTACCTGTTTTCAATATTAGAGTGATGCTGGCTTCATAGATGGGACTTGGGAGTTCTCCCTCTATTTTTTATCTTTTTGAATGATTTAAATAG